TGTTCGCCTTCATATTGGGACGCGTCCGGAGACTCTGTTTATAAACTCCCCTCGTTAGCTCAGCGGCTAACTTTAGCTCTCCGCCAACACTTTCCTCCGCTGCTTCCTTTCCTCATTAAAACTCATTATCACTCATTACTCAGACTGACCGCCCCGAGAGCGCGTCCCGTGTCAACCGCCGCCGGTTGAAGTTGTTTAAAGACTTTATAAAGAAGATTAAAGGTAATATAAGTAGCCTCTTTAGCATTAGCACGCTAGCGCCGCTGGCTGCGCGCCCTCAGCACGCTATAGACTCGGGCTGCGGCTAATCTCTGGAGCGGCGATTTAATACCAAACAGCGGGGTGTTTTTTTTAATTTTAATCGCTTTTAAAATGTATAAACTGATAATTAAAAGAGGCGTTTGGTGATTGTTTATAAGTTTAACACCATAAATGAAGATTTAAACAGAATTTACGGCGTTTTAACGGAAAAACAGTGACGCATTTCCTGCGAGTATTTAACGATAAAAGCAACATCATGACGAGTCGTTTCTTTCAGCCTCTAACTGCATTATTAGTCGTTAACTGGTTTTATTTACCAACACTGAACTACAACCGGGATTTAAGTGCGTCGACAGGACAAAAAAAAATAAACGTTTAATGCGTTTTAAATCGTGCAACGCAGTTATAAACCCGTGTTATAAGTTCAGGTTCCAGACATTAGCCAGGCCCCGGGTACACACACGGATGTGCGTTTCGCGTTTTAATCTCACACATTTTGTTTAAAACGCGGACAAAACCGACAACAAACGGCATCAAATTCGACTCAAACGCGTGAAACAAGCGCGAATATAAAACATAAAATATAAATATAACATAAAACTATAAAAAACAGCTGCGCGAAGGGGTCTGTTTGTGAGATAACACCGCGCAGCTCCCGTAGAGACTTAAAAGCAATACAAATAAACACAATAAAACCAAATTTCTGACTTAATTCAACTCGCAGCTTCACTTTTTTAAACCCTAAACGCGCATTTTAGTCACTTTTCGGTGCCTGCAGACAGCCGGCCATGTGCTCGACACCCCTCCTTCTCCGGCCGGGCAACAGGAGCAACAACAGGGGCAGCAACGGGGGCAACGCGGCAACTGACCTCCGTGGGCGACCGGTGCCGCAGCTCCAGGGAGACCCTCTTCTTCATGTCCATCTTCCTCTTGCTTTGGGCCCGAGTTTGTGTCTGTGCGACGCGAAACAGCGAGTTTCTGCGGGATCCTCTTCTTCACTGTCAACACGCGGAACCAGCGTGAAGCTGCGGGGACGGCGGGTGGAGCGCTTCCGGCCGAGACTTTCAGAATAAGAGTCTCAGCGGGGCGGCGGAAGTGGGAGCCAAAAGAATAAAAAACATTTGTGAAGAGTAGTGTTTGTTTGTTATTCAGGGGGTTATTTTGTGTGTTTTATGTTATTTTGCTTCTTATTTATGTTAAAAGGTTGATTTACTGTCTGTTATTGTTCTTATAAAACCTTCTTTTTGTCATACATGTTTTCTCAGGACGCTCCCCCTAACAGCTCTGGAGTGGTGTTCACAACACGTCGTATAAAACTCACTGTCGGCACCTCCTCCTCGCCCTTTCAACCGCTGCTGATGTGCTTTTTTCGGCCGGGCAAACTTTTTCCGTGTTGGAGCAAATCTACTGAGGTGGTAATACATTAACACATAACCGTTATTGAGGGCGCGCGTGTGCGTTTATGTGGGAATTGCCGTAAAGTTTTAACCATCAAAATGATTTCTAAACGGGTTTATTAAGCTGAAAAAGTTGCCAT